AAAAATGCCGCCACCAGAGTCCCAACCTCGGGTTGAACCACCCAGGAGGGGAAGGCACCAAATCTGCAGAGACGGTCTCCAGTGCCCGCACGCCATGCTGTGCACAGCTGGCCTGGGATCTGCGCTCAGGCAGGGTCTGTGCGCTAGGCTTTGCCATCTCTTCAGAGACCCAGGAGAAGAGGAGACTCGTCACCTTCTCTCTGCAGCTACGTGTGACAGGTGCCCCACGCCACACTGGGCAGCTGGACAGGAACCTGAGGAAGTCACCTGCGAGGGCCACCAGTATGGGGACTGCGGCTTTGGCCGGGCCTGCTCAGCCCACTCAGGGTCAAGGCCAGTCTGTTACAGGGAGGCTGACTTCTGGGTCACCCACCCTCTCCGGATCTGCTGTTCCCCTCCCACCTCCTCGTCCCACGCTCCCTGCCAGCTCCCGAGGCCCCGCCCTCTCTTTTGTTGTTGATGTTGTTGAATAAAACATCTGAATACACAGAAAAGGGAAAGAAGGTTTGAGTCATCTTACACCCCACAGTGTGGGCACAATGTCTGCCCCACATGGAGGGCTGTGGTCCCCTCAGGGCAGCTCCAACCTGCATCCTCGGCCTTCACTGTGGACTCCAGCATGGAGTTTTGCAAATGTGTAAAATGAGCTAATTGTCAATATGATCCAAGAGTCTATAAATCTAGCTGTCCTTGGAAAACAGGGAAAGTGGGCCCTCCTGTGTTCTAGTCCCTTTGTGGTGACAATCACTGAGAACCAGCTGCCCACTGCCTGGAGGGGTGAGGGGTAAAGCCATGCCAGAGCTCCCACCAGTCCCTAGGTACGCCCACTTCTTCAGTGACCTACCCCTGTGACCCTGAGGGACTCAGGTTGGCCACGCCGCGCTGAGCTGGCGTTGACTGAGAGCTGACCCCATGTCGCACATGCTCACACAGTCCCCACACCAATTATTCCCCGTTAGTGTGCTCATTTTACAGAGGGAAGAACCGAGGCTCGGAGAGGTGACACCCACTGCCCTAGACCATGGTGAGAAAATGGTGAAGTGGCAGAGTCGGGACAGGAAGCCGGAAGTCCCAACCCTGGCACTGCACGAGAACAGACGTCCACTTGGTTCTACACTGAGGACTATTTTCCGTGTTAATTAACATCATCTAGGAGTATCCAGTTAATAAAAGCAAGAGAAAGAGAAGATAGAATTTACCCCAAAAATAAATAACAAGCGTGGAGGTCTCTTCTTTCTATTGGCCCAGATTCACTCTTTAAAGAGCTGCCCTTCTTGTGGTCCCAGCAGGGGCATCATCCCTCTCACCTTCCTCTGGCCACAGGGCTGAGCATGTGACCAGGGACCTGACCAATCACAGTGTTCCTCCTGGGCAGCTACAAGGATTGGCCTGGGGACAGGCACATGACCCAAACTTGGCCAATCAGAGTGTTTCCCTGAGTTTTTTCTCTGGGGGGACAAGTAGTTCCTGTCTCTGAACTCCAAGGTGACTTGATATAAGCCAAGAAAGGGGTGAGAAAGAGATAGATAGGAGGGAGAGAGAGAGGGAAAGCAAGGACATTTGAGTCTCTAGTATCTATTCTCAAATCCAAAGCCATCCCTGACTCTCCAAGACTGAGCCAGTAAATTCCAGTTTAAACCAGTCTGAGTCACATTTACTTACAACAGAAAGGAGACAATGTGTGAATTTTCCATGGTCATTATTCATTAATGACTCACACTGGCCCATTCTCCTGTCACAGCATTATTTATTAACCCTTCACTCTTGGAGGACAGTCAGAAGCTCCCCGAAGTCACCACTGCCAGGGACGCTGGGAGGAACCCGGTGCTGGGGGCAATTCCTAGGCATGAACTGGAGCCTCACAGTGTGACACTGTCCTGGACCTCCATCCCTGCCTGGGTTTAGAGTCCCAGCCACATGTGCAGGAGGAGAGGACTTTGTCCTACGCCCACGCTGAGACAGTACAGGGCGCAGCGAGCCACTGACAACATCAGCGAGTGAGTGAGTGAATGAACGAAGGAAGAGAGCTTAGAGGGTGCAGCCAAATGTGGGTTCAAGAGCAGATTCTGCTCCTGACTCCTCTGGGAAGTCCCTTCCCTCTCCAGGCCTCAGTTTCTCATCCGTGAATGCAGTCACTGAATGACAATCTCAGCTCCTGGCTCCCCTTGCCCCGGAGCCAGCTCCATCAGGGTGCGGAACCCTGAGCTTTTGGGCAAACAGCAGATGTCAGCCTTCTGGTGCTGCTACGATTTCATCCAAGGGCTGAGCCCTCCCATCTCTCCTTGGGGACAGGGATGGGCAGGGAAGAGGGCCAGAGGGCCAGAGGGCCAGAGAGCCTAGAGTTTCCCCCTAAATGTGCCAAATGCAGATCTGAAGTCAGACAGAGCTTTGCCTCTTCCTAGCAATGTGGCCTTAGGCAAGTGACTAAACCTCTCTGAACTCCGTTTCCAAGCCGGGACTATAAGAATACACTTCCCTGGTTTGCAAAAGGATGAAATATAAAGATGCACAAGCACCTAGCAGAGCCTGGAGGGAGCGCTCCATCGGTGGGAGCGGTGCTGCTGAAGGACTTTCCAACCTGTTCGAAAACTGCCGTGTGCTGTCCATGGCCCATGTTAGACTCCTCCCTACTATACAGATGGGAAGCAGAGCCACACTTCGGACAGAAACACTGACTACAGGCCAGAAAGAGCTTTAAAGGGGCCTCCTCCCACCTTCAGCCTTTCTCCCACCTGGAATTTAGTCACAATAACTGGAGATGAGGCAGCCACTTTGGACCATGAGGAGACTTGAGGATGGAAGCAGAAAGTGAGAAGGAACCTGGATGCATGGCCATGCTGCTACAAGGGAACCAGTGCTGCCCACTTCAGATTTCTTTCCTGTCTGACGAAAGCAAATCTATGACTGCTTTAAACTGTCATTGTTTGGATTTCCTCTTTCAGATAAACAACCCCAATAACTGTGTCCATTTTGCCAATGATAAAATAAGACTCAAGGGGGAGGAGGACGATCACACAACCAGCAAGTGGGACGTCAGGATTTGAACACAGGCCCCAAGGGCTCCCTGCAGTTGATTCTGCCTAACTCTTTGCTGTCTGCCATGAGAAAGTCCCTCTCTCCCAGGCCAGACACTCGCAAGTCGTTCAGCGTGACCAGGGTGGGGAGAGCAGAGGGAAGGAGGAGCAATCACGGGAGGCTCCTCGTGGAGGAGGTGGCATCTGAGCTGAGTCTCAGAAACAGGGCTATGATGATAACTGAACCCCCCAAGCCGCCCTCAGACAGGCAGCCCAGTGCCCAGAGCCCAGGGCTCTTGTCAGCTGCTGGGTTGGCTCCAGGAGTGTAGGGCCCGGGACCACCCAGCGCTCCGTGTCTCTCAGTGAGGACTCCTGGGGCTCAGCACATGTTGTACTCACAGCTGTGATCCACAGCAAGGCAAAGGCCCAGAGCCACAGCCACCAAAGGGCCCACAGAGGAATCCGCAGGACTCCAGCCCCAGCTGCCAAGGGCCTGACCCCGGCAGAGCCACCGGCTTGAGACGCTGGATCCCTCTGGCCGCAAATGGTGACGGCAGGAACGCAGGGGGCAACGCAGACTGCTGTTTGCCCAAGTAGCCAAGCCCGAGAGTCTCTGTCACCGGTTAAGGTCCCCAACTCCAGGTCCCCACGCCAGCCCGTGGCAGCCTGGCTTCTGGGAGACAGCAGCCCTGGGCCTGCAGCGCCCCCTGCTCTCTCCACGCTTCTCTGTCTGAGATGACCCAAAAATAGTGAGTGGTGCTTTGGGCCCTGACGTGTGAAGAAAAATCTAGTTTACCGTGGAGATCATTCCAACAAGTCTCCCAGAAAATAACTGAGTTATGGAAGAAGCAGGAGGGGGCACAGGTTCCAAGGCCCAAGTGCCAGGCCAGCCTGGCCACCAACTCCAGTTCCAACATGTTCATAGTCAAGACACCCCAGACACAAGCCTCCATTTCCTCTTCAGTGAACGGACAGTGAATGGACAGTGCAGAGTGCTGTCTGCATCAGTGAGCTTTTGCTGCGTAACAGAACAGCCCAAAAGTTAGCAATTTAAATAACAACAAAACAAATACAATGGCAAATGTTTGCCGATCACCCTGATCTAGTCACTCTACATTGCATGTGTGTATCAAAACATCACACTGTACTATATGAATATGCATAACTATGTGTCCATTAAAATTTTTATTAAATATAAATTTTTAGAGAGCAGCAAAAGATACCATTTTCACAATTCGCTGAGGCAGGCATTCGGGGTAGGCTCAGCTTAATGGGTCTCATATGCCTGGCCAGGCCAATGTCTGGTGTCCTCACGGCTCTCCACCCCCAGCAGCTGGCCCAGGCTGGCTCTGGAGGCGGCCAGGCAGGAACCCAGGTGCCAGAGTGGGAGCTTCAAGGACTTTTAAAGCTTGGCCTCAAAAAATCCCATAATGAGTGGTGCAGGTCTGGAATCCCAGAAGTATGAAAGGCTAACGCAGGAGGATCACAAGGTCAAGGCCTGTCTGGGCAGATTACTGAGCCCTTATCTCAGCAACAAAAGGTCCTATAATGTCGTCTCTCCTGTGTGACAGAGCTGAGAATCAAACAGCTGAATCTGACCCTACACTCCTTATGCTGTCATAGAATAGCTATAAATGCAGCTCAGCTCTGCTAGTGAGTTTCCCAGCAGGGTAGGGGAAAAGGGAAACTGGGTATATTACCCAATTTGTTCCTAGACAGCAAAAAGGCTGAATTCATTTGTTTTTCTCAAGTGGGAGCTCACACAAGAAAATTTGTGAGGTAGAATTTGGGGGTGTCAGGACTATACAGTTAGGGTTGTCCTTTGACCCATGTGGGGGGAAGGGTAAATGCCCACGCTGCCCTGGAAAAGGCTGTGTCCTCACTGACGCCTTCCCCTGTGGTTGCACAAGTCCTGAGCATGAGTGTCTCTGCCTCTTTGTGTCCCCTCCCACACCCCAGATGCAAAGTCCCTGCTACTCAAACCTCTCAGTGCTTTTAGGAAGTGCAGCGGCATCCGAGCGCTGCACAGCCCCCAGCAGCCCAGCTTCACTTCCGCCCCACACGCCTGGGCGGGCGGGGCAGGCGGGAAGGGCCTGTCACCAGCAAGGTGACACATTCCTGCCCAGCCAGCCCAAGCAGCAGCTGGGCCAGCGGACAAGGGGCCCAGCCACCTCTCCCCGGCGCTTCAGAATGGATCTGTGCCACTCAGGTAAGCGCGGGCTGAGGGTCGGGCCTCAGCGCCCTCCTCTGCAGAACGGGGACACACGGCTGCCTCGCAGGTCCTAGGAGGGACAGAGGGGGAGACACAGGGTCCAGCACGGACCCTGCAGATCCCAGGTGGGATCCAGCGGGGATCAGGGCTTGCACCATCCCTGCGCCCATGCAGCAGATGAGTAGTGACAGCCGCGTCAGCTGGTGGCAGGCCAGACGTGAGCTGCGAAGCAGGACGAGACCGCCGGGAGAGGGTCCTGGGGAGGGGACAGTGCTGGAGCCCAGCCTTGAAGGGAGTGAGAGAGATCTCGAGTTCTAGGAAAGGCCAGTCCAGGCAGGGGCAGCCGCACGGACGCCTGGAGTGGGCCGGGGGACAGTGATGTGCCGTGGCAAAGGTGACAGTGTTGGTGGCAGTGGTGACTGTCGGCATGGTACACAGCCCTGAAGCCCCTTTTTGGCCCTCGAGGGTTGATGGTGGCCTTTGAGGAACAGGGGACAATGCCTCAGGCCAGCTGAAGGCCAAGCAGGGCAGCCGAGGACCCGACTACAGCCCCCAGTGACCAGGGCGGCGACTCTGGGGGGAAAGAGGACCCCAAGGCTGCAGAGCTGCTCTCTGGGAGGCAGAGCTGGGCAGGGAAAGGGCTGCAGCCTTATTCTCAGAACACCCACCTGCAGCTCCCAAAGCCAAGGGCAGCAGGAGCCGGCTGGTCCCTGGGTCCAGCTGAAACACAAACTTTCTCTAAACAAAACCTAACACAGAGCAGCTGGGCCACCCTGGTGTCCTCCGGGGGAAGCCTGGACTCTGACCCATGAGGCCAGAGAGAACCTTCTCAAGGAGGCAGAGGCAGGACTCTCTCTCCCCCCAGCCCACCTCTCCTCCTCTCCTCCTGTGGGCTTTGGGGTCAGATGGCTCCCACCCGCGTGACTCAGTGACCACGGCTTAGGGGACCGAGACAGGCAGGAAGAGACAGAGCGCGATGCAGGGCCTGACTCACCAGTACCGGCAGGCGAGTGACACTGTGACAAGAGCCCCCCCGTGCCACCTGCCTGCCTGGTCACCACTGTGACTGCTCTTTTGGATCCTAGCACCCTGACATCACAGGGACTGTCGCCCCATGTGACAAGTAGGGAAATTGAGGCTCGCAGAGGTGAAGGCTGGCTTGCTCGAGATCAAGTGGCCGAGCAAGGACAAGGGCCAGAGACAAGAGGTGAGGAGAAGATGCAGACCTCTCGGCGCCACAGGAGGGGCCTCTGCTCTGCTGCACTGACCAGTAGGGAGGGGCTCAGCGCAGGGTCTATAGGGAGACCCAGGGTCTCCTTTTATTCATCCTTCCCCATTCCTTTATTCGTTCTATGAATAGCCTTCCATGCAGTGTGTAGGGTCTGGGAGCCTGGAGCTCGGGGAAAAGCGGGGTAGAGATGCTGAGCCTGACCTGGGGCAGGGAGGAAGCATCTCTCCCACCAGGGTGGGGAGATCTGGGAAGACTTTCTAGAGGAGGTGGGCCACCACCCCCAGTTGCCCAGGTCAAGTCTTAATTGGAGCTCCTCGGTGGCCAGGTGACGTCGTGCATCTTCACGCGGAAGTGTGCCTCAAGCAGGAACCAGGAGTCTGCACACGGGCCTGGGTCCAGCTCTGTGCCAGCCTCCTCTTGCTGTGGGCCTCAGCTTCCCCATCCTCACTAAGCACAGGGTGGTGGCAAAGGTCCCCACCAAGCGGAGTCACCTCCCACCCCTGTCATGGGTTGGTGACATCCATGAGGAGCGGGCTATGTCTTCCTCAGGGCCTGCCAGGAAGCAGGGCCGGTGTGAGGTCCCCCAACTCAGCAGAGGTACAGAGGACCCACAGCCAGCACAGCTAAAAATAGAGGACACTCGCTTGGCTGGGGAGAGGAAGCCACACAGGCCGCAACTGCAGGCTGCTGGGGACAGGGCCTGGGGCACACAGCCCTTCCTGCCCACCACCCTCTCACACTGAGACACTCAGGGGAGAGCCAGGATGGCGCCCCCTCGCCCCCCAGCAAAGGGGAAGTGGGTCCGGCTGTCCTGGATCCGGGCTGCAAGTGCAAAGATTTCTAAAAATACACTGGGAAAGAGGAAGGACAAAGGGGAAGTGGAGAGTAGCCAGCAAGCTGGCCGGGGCGGCAACAGTGGGCACCCAGTGGGCACCCAGTGGGCCTGAGTGCCGGGCAGCTGCAGGGCGGGAAGAGTGTGAAGGAAAAACACAAGCCGCCCCCAACTGTCCCCATGCAGTGTCACTCTGGGAAATCATTACTGCTGTGTGGATTTCCAGCACTCTGCCTCAGTTTCCCCAGCTCTGCAATGCTGGCTTCCGGGGGAGGGTAGGAAGGCCCAACATCACTCTGCAGCTCTGTTATTCTCAAATCTGTGACTATTCCCCATCTGGACATCCAGGGTCAGTGCTGCATCCAGGGGTTTGACCATTTGCATGGAGGTGAAGGCAAGGATCAAAATATAGGTGGATGTTTAATTTCTTAAAAATTCATCACAGTAAAACATATTAGCACGATTCTCCCTCAGAATACCCGCCTCACTTTGAACACACCCACCCTATCATTCTCGTCACTCTTTGAAGCAGTTTGTGAAGTCCTCTTTCATGAGAGCCTTTATGAGATGCGGTCAAAAATACCGTGAATACTGCCGCCGAGTGCCATCCAGCGGAGAGGCAGGCTCGTGAGAATGCTACCGTTTGTGTCCTTGTCAACTCTACACACCAGGCCTCGCACTGAGCACCTTCTGACTCTTCCTCAAAGTCAAAAGAATTGTGAAAAGCAAACAATTTGAATCAGTTCAGGACATCAAGGCAGCCACAACAGCTCAACTAAAGACTCTCCAGAAAGAGGACTTCCAGAATCGCTTCAGAAAGGGGCAAGGACGATGGGATAGGTGTGTTTGGAGAGGGAGGGAGGATTTTGAGGGAGATTCCTAGCAATGTGTCTTGTGCTATAATAATGTCTTCTTAAATTTAAATCCGCTGTATTTTCCCATCTCATACCTGGCTTCTCAAAGTGAACTTCAGTATGGCCCCAGGCCGGACCAGTGTGAAGCAGCTCTGCCACCTTCCGGCTGAATCACCCAGGCAGGTCACCTCAACTCTCTGAGCCCAAGTGCTCGCGTGTGGGATGGGACGAGCAGGACCTTTGCTGCACAGTTTCAGGGAGCCCCTGAGCTGATGGACAGGCAGGAGGAGCCAGAGCATCCAGGTGCCAAGACATGGCAGCTGCTCGGCCCTGTGCCTGTCCTGCCCAGGGCCCCGTTGGTCACACGGATCCCACAGATGCATGGCTAAGGCGCGGGCCGTGAAAGTAGAAGGGAAACGGACCAGGCTCACGGCAGAGGGGTGTGCAGAGCAAGAGCAAGGTGGGAGTCAAGCTGCTCCTGGGAGCTCAGAACGCAGGAAGAGGCCAGCTGGGCTGGAACTGCAAGGTCCAGTTCTGGGCACAACAATAAGAGCGGTGACGGTCAGCTACACAGGGTACATTCATGTGTCAAGCTCAGAGAAGGAACTGAGCCAGAGAGAAGGCAGGAGCCCCCTGGGAGGAGGGGAGGCAGCCCAGGACCCAGCCACTTGGAACACCCGTCAGAAGCGAAGCCCAGCTGGGCGTATTCATAGGCACCTGTAATCTCGGAGGCTGAGGTACGAGGATCATAAGTTTGACCCAAACAGGGCAACTTAGTGACTTAATAAGACCCTGTCTCAAATAATATTTTTTAAAAAAAAGAAATCCAAATACTGGGGCACCCTTGGCCCTTCCAGGAGGTATGCCCCGCCTATAGACAAGGACAGGGAGCTCCCCCTGCCCCCATAGCCAGCCAGGGAGGACTGCGTTCCCCATGGGTGGGACCAGCATTCCTGCCCCTAACAGGTGCTCTGGGTCCCAGCCTCTGGCACTGCCTCCCTGCTGTGTCCCTGTCCATGCGATGTCCCTTGCCTTCCACCCCTTCATATCCCCCCTGAGAAGTGTCAGCAAACCAGGGTTCAAATCCCAGGTGCACTTCCCAGCTGTGTGACCTGGGCCTCATCACTCTGTCCCCCTGAATCTGTGTGTCTTAACCTGAACAAAGCCTCCTGTGAAGGGCCTGGAGACAAATGACTCACTCTGCACGGAGCTGCTGGCGTGAGCTAGTATTCAGGAGCTTGGGTTGGGACTCTAACCAGGTGCGGTAGCACAAGCCTGTACTTGGGGAGGCTGAGGCAGGGCTGCAAGTTTGAATCCAGCCTAGGCAACTTGGCAGCTTAGCAATTTAGCAAGACCCTGTCTCAAAGGAAACACTAAAACGGGCTGAGGATGTAGCTCGAAGCAAAGGCCCTGGGTTCAGTCCCCAGGACCACCCACACAAAAAAAATGGTAACTTCTTTTGTGCCTCTTCCCAAGTCCCCTGGAATCTTCCCAGACCTGCAGGGACACAGAAGCACCCAGGGGTCCCCAGGGGGATGGCGTACAGACTGCCACCATTCCCAGGGTGGCCACAGAGACACAGCACTGTAATGGCGCTGACAAGGGTGCGAGGGGCATCCTGGGGGCACCCAAGATCCCCAGCGGTACCTTCATTAGGCCGTCCCATCGCTCCATCAGGAAAGTCTTCCAGTGGTGACACATTGCCCACTGCCCATGCCCTGACTGCACTGAGGGTCCCGGTCTGCATGATACCACAGAGGGAGTGCTGAGAGCTGCTGCCTGGGCTCCAAGAGCAGCGTGAATCTGAACCTGCACTGCTTACGGTCAGAATGAGCAGCTGACCGGGGCAGGTTCGAAGGGGCCCAGTGCCATGGACTGCCTTCCACGCTGATGCTTGGTCCTTACAGAAACCATAGGCTCAGTGTGGGCCTCTGCCCTCCATGTAGGCCAGGTGGCTATGACGTTCATGCACCCTGGGAGTCATTCTGCCGGCATTCCTGTGTGCACGCTCTGCGACTGCCCTGTACAGAAGCGCCCCCTCTGCCCTCTTCCGCAGGCCTTCCTTGCCTCTTCCTAACCTCCATGTCCCAGTCTTCTGATTTTTATTTTTCCTTCAGTACTGGGGTATGAACCTGGGCCTTCACACCAAGCTACATTCCCAGCCCTTTTCTCCCTAAGTTGCTAAATTCCCCAGGCTGGGCTCAAACTTGCAACCCTTCAGCCTCCCAGACTGCTGGAATTATAAGCCAATCTTCCTTCTTTCTAGCCTCTGACCAGAAAGCAAGCCGGTCATTAACACCCAGAATGCATAGACGCCCTTATTTCAAGCCACTTCTCTGATCCGGGAAGTGGGTGGCCAGATGTCCCGCACAAAGTTCTGGGAGAGGGCCTGGCTTCCTGGGACCCGAGGAGCAGGTCGCAGCCCTGCACCTGCCCACTCCTTACTTGAACCCAGACACTGTGCCAGCCCATGCTGCCGCCGGGCGGGCCCATCTCTCTCCTGCATCAGCAGGTCACAAGGGACCTGCCCGTGAGGATGGAGTGAGAGCCATGGGACCAGCTCTGGTGCCACAGCGGTGGTGACATGGGGCCTGGGCTGCCTGCCCATGGAACTGTCTTAGGCCTTTGGCTCTGTTCATGGACCGGTGCAATGCTAACAAAGGCCACCCTTGGCTCCCTTGGCCCTACCAGGGCTCGACAGCCCTCCTGGCTGCGTGGTGAGAGGGGTCCAGGGCCACACTGCCCCACTGGGGCCTCTGGGGACTGTTTTCCTCACTAACTGTAATTCTCTGCTGCAGGAGGTGTGGTCTTCCACTGAGTCCTAGAGGTGCTTCTTGATTCTCCCATGGGGGCCCCATAAATTGTTCTTGGAGTCATTCCCATGCCTGATGCAGTGCTAACGCCCCAAGGGGCCTGTCAGATGGCATGACCCAGTCGCACCCCAGCCTGGCCACTCCCAAAGTCCTTCCAGCCTCAGCCTCATGCCAAGCTGGCACTCCGCATATCTCTCAGAAGTGTCTGTCCCAGCACATCAAGGCGCCCGGTGGGTGTGGGCTTCCTCCTAAGGGGTGGACAGGAAGCATCTGTGCCTACCTGGAAGGTGTCCCAGGAGACAGGCCCTCCTCAAAGCTGTGCCGATGTGGCCTGCCTGGCCCTGCCAGGGTCCATGCCCACACAACAGGCACCTGCATCACCAAGGCCTCCAGTCCAGCTTTGCCCATCCGTCCATAAATATGCTGTCACCTATATGATGGGCATCACCATTGCAGGGATCAGGCCTCTTCTGACTACATCGTGATGGAGGGCAGGAGGGGGAATCTGATCCTGGGGCAAGGCAGCAAAGGACCCAGCTGTCCAGGCCCTGGGGTACACACCGTGTCTGCCCCTCCTTCCTGACAAGAGGAGACAGGAAATTACCTGCCAGAGTGATGCCTGAATTATGTACCTAGGCCCTGTTCATTGCACTAGAAAAGATGCCACATCTGGTGCAGCAGCTGCAACCAGCTCAGGGCTGGTTAGTCTGTGGGATCTGTGGCCACCCTCTGGACCGTTGACAGGGGTAACGAAAGCCATCACCCCACATCCTGCAGGTCCCCAGGTGGCCGTACCCCCACTCTTCTCCTCACCCCAAAGGGGGAGTTTTCCCCTTAGCCATGAGTGACAGCTCACAGACTTCCCAACACTCTCCCTGCCTCCCTGTCACCCTGACCCATGGCCCAGGTGTGGGTCAAGCACCCATATGTCCACTCTAGTGACAGCTGTGGACCAGGAAAGTGGCCACAAGCCAAGTGGACGCACAATGAGATGGACCTGGGCAGACTTTGTCTGCAACCCAGCCTCTATATGGCCACTCTAAGGGGGCCTCTGTGACACCCAAGTCCCTAGGGCCAGGGTTGGCCTGGATCCTGTAGCTGGCTGTGCTCAACGTATTTGGAGACCCCTGCTTTAGGGAAGGAGCACGCTGGCCTTGCAGGACACCATTCTCTGGGAACCAGGCTCCTTCCGGCCTGGTGACTGCCACCTCGACGTGGGACTTCCGACTTCAAGGGGTGTCCCTGAGTGGAGGCACTGTCCAAGGCTGGACTGGAAGGCTCAGGTGCAGACCATGGGAGGAAGACCAGCTGGAGAGGCCGGGATACTGTGAAGGCCTGGAGGCAGGAGAGGGCTTTTCCTCTAAGAGACAAGGTGTCTGTGGAGACTTCAACCACATAGTGCTACGGACAAAACAGGTCGCAAGGCCCCACTGTGGGAATCATCACCCCATCTTGCACAGAACACCACACTCACATGCTGCAGGAAACTCATTTCCGGAAGATCAGCAAACACTGGCTTTGCAGCCAGCCCACCCCAAGGTCCCCGCCTGGATCAGCAACTATGTCCCTATGGGACCTTGGCCAGGTCACCTCCCTACTCTGAGCCTCAGTCTCTGGGGGCAGGGACTGTCAAATATCCCCATAATCCAGCCTCCCTGTCTTCAAGGTGAGGACATCAAGACCACCCTACTAAAGGATCATTTCCCAGCCTCCCTTGCAGCTAGGTTGGTCATGTGACTATGTTCTGCCCAATCACATATGAGGCAAAATTTCGTATCACTTCCTGGTAAGTAGGTGAATAAATAATAACCACAGGAGCTGGTGAAAAAGTGTGAGTTCCAGGGAAGGACAATGGCCTTCAGCAAATATATATATTTTAGTCTTTATTGGTGCTGTGGTTACAGTAGTAGGCAAAAGGCAAGGTGGATGAATAACCAAAGAGCTGAGTCTAATTTGGAGAACAGGGAAGAGTCTCTGTTTTGGGCGTGGAAGAGACAGAGTGCTCAGGAGGGCAGGCTCCCAGGCAGGTGGCACCCCGGCAAGGGCCAAGGGCAGAGGTAAAGCCAGGCCGGCATCTAGGGGCAGAGGTGCTGCACAAGCAGCTAAGGCAGGAATCTTCTCTTTCCAGAGTCTGCTGAGCTGAGCAGCGGGGAGACAGAGGAGCTGCAGAGGATCAAATGGCACCGGAAGCAGCTGCTGGAGGACATCCAGGTATGTGCACACCCATGGATCCACGCATGCATGCGCAGAGCTCCCACGAACCACACAGGCATCAGTGGGAATTCAGGGGTGGCGGGGCCCCACAGAGGACCAGGAAGCTGGGAGGATGGACAGCCATTGCTGGGAGCACCTGCTGGATGCTGAGTTTCACCACCTCATTGCACACAGGTCTAATCCAGCTGTGTGGCCCGGTCAGCCCCGCCCCTCCCCCAAAGTAGACCGTTCCTTCAAGCTGGTGCTGGTGTGTGCCCAGCATCTGCCTGATGCTGGTTAGGATTGTGGAGCATTTTTGAGGGAGAGCGGGGTACAGTGCTGACCCCACACATTCCAGGCAAGAGCTCTACCACTGAGCACGTCCCCAGCCACCCAATCATTTCTTACACACCTGCTCATGTGGCTCTCAGCTCCCTTCTAAGACAGGGATGAGTTCTGTCCCTTGAAGGTGCCTGGCTCAATCCTGCCCCGGGCCCTTTGCACTCGCACTTCCCCTCTGCCTGAGCCTCTCCCATCTCCCCTCACGACTCCTCCTTCTCATTACTTCATTCTCAGCTCAAACCCTCGCCTTCTCCAGGCTGCCCTGACTGCCCTGGCTACCGCCGCTGTGTCCCTTCCAACCTGTACTCACACATGCATACCTACAATCCATACAAAATCATTTCTCCAACTAGTATTTTAGGGAGCACCTACTCTGTGCCAGTCTCTTTCTGTACAATTGCTCTGATCATTTTAGGCATTGATATTTCATTCGCCTTGTGGCTTGATGGTCTCAACCCCACCACTCCGTGGGCTCCATGAAGGCAGACCCAGGCCTGGCTGCCCAGTCCCACCCACAGAGCATGCAAGCGCTTGGTTCCTCCTTTCCAGAGAGACCCCACCTTGTGCACGGGCATCATTTAGTGGCTCAGCTAGATCACGTGGACAGGAGCTGCCTGGGCGCTGCAAAGGTCCCTCAGGCCGCATGGTGGTGCTGAGTCCCAGGAAAAGACCCTAGGAGCAGCCCATGCCCAGCACCCCAAAGATCGTGGGGTGACTCTCCCTGGGGGCACTTGCCAGGTGCTCATGTGCTGCCTCCTGGAGGCGTGGGCCAGTGGCCCGCCACCCCACCTGCCCAGTATGTGTTCGGAGGGGCAGGTTAGGGGTCTCCTGCCCTACTGGGGGCCTCCAGAGTCAAGATGGCAAAGGCTTGGGGTGGGGCCTGGGGGCACAGCTTGGAGTGAGACCTTGGGCACATCACTGCCTCTCTCTGTGCCTCAGTATCCCCAAGATGAGGACCTGTGCTCCGAGCCCTGTGCCCTGTGCCCTGTGCTCCGGCTGCCTGTAGTGCCTGGCAGGCAGTGGGCACTGGGAAGGCAAGGGACAGAGCACAGAGTGAGGGCAGGGAGGAGCGGGGCTGAGCAAGGGCAGAAATCCACCTGAGGAGGCCGCAGGGAGCCCGGGAGGGACTGAGCTGGGAAGGGCAGGGGCCAAGGTGGGCTCGCAAAAGCTGCCCACAGGTGGAGCAGGGCACTGCGGCAGGCCTGGTCCCGGGCAGGAGATGCCCCAGAAGCAGTGGGAAGAGATGGCAAGGCTGGAAATGGGGCCGAGCGACAGCCGGGCACAGGAGCCGAGAGCAGCAGGAGTGCAGAGGCAGCGTGTTCGCGGGACTTCAAGGCCTGAGACACTCCCCGAGGGGCCGTCCTCCTCCGAGGAGAAGGACCTCAGACTGGGGCTGAGGTGGAGGTCGGAGACAGGGGCAGGGCCGCATCACCCAGGCAGGAGCAGCTGCACAGGGGCCTGACCTGCAGCCTGACCACCCGCAGAAGCTGAAGGACGAGATCTCGGAGGTGTTTGCCCAGATCGACTGCTTCGAGGGCGTGGAGGACAGGTGAGAGGATTCGCAGAGGCCGCCTGCCGGCACGTCTGCCGCACCCACTCCTCCCGTCACACCTGCCCAGCGCCCAGCGCCCACGGTTCTCAGCACGTTAACCCCGGCAGTGCGGAGGCAAGGGGTGCTGTCACCCCCTTTACAGATGAGGAAACTGAGGCCTGGAGGGAGCGGTGACTCTCCAGATAGGGTTCCTCCAGGGGGAGGATTTACACCCAGGAGTCAGCTCCAGGGCCTGCGCACCCCACCCCACCTGCAGCCGCAGGGCGTATGGCTCCCCACAAGGGCCCTGGGGAGGAGGGGAGGGGTCCCCAAGCCGCCCAATGATGCCCTCCTGTCCACAGCCGGATGGCGCAGAAGGAGAAGGAGCTGTGCATCGGGCGCAAGAAGTTCAACATGGACCCAGTGAAGGTCAGCAGGGGACAAGGCGGGACTGCGCTCTGGGCCCTTCCCAGCGTCCTCTCCTTCCCCTCCTTGCACAGGGGCCTTTAGATCTGAGGCTTCATGCCCAAAAATGTTCTCCTGCCCTGGGCTGGGGGGGAGCCCTCTTGGGATCTCACCACTGCCCCCTGCTGGCACGGAGGTGCCCCCTCCTAAGGATCTCAGAGCAGCCCTCACGGCCAGGTGGCCTGGGTGGGGACGGAGACAGAACAAAGTCGCCTGCCCACACTCCCAGGTGGGGAAGGGCGGCAGTGCGAGCGCCACGCGGGGTCCCCGGCAGTGTCCTGCTACAGCTGCAGCCGCCACTCCCCCAGCCCAGTCCGGAGTGATACCGCACTCACTGTCACAGTCACAACCCCGGCCCTGCCCCGCCACCCACCCACAGGCCTGTCAGACACCCCAAGCTGCTGCCCCGTCCAGGGGAGCAGGGACTGGGCCCAGACTCTGGAAGTCAGGCTTTTGGACCCTGGGGGACTTGGGCTGTTTCCTGCCCTTTGCATTTAGCTTTTTTTTTTTTTTTTTCTCCAACTTTCATACTGTGAACATGGATTACTTGTGTGACAAAGCGAAACACTATTTTTAAGTTTTGTAAGTTGGGGGGGAACAAAAGAAAAGGCTGAATCTGAGAATTATGAATGCGTAGAACTGTTGGAGCATATAATCAAAGGCTGCCAGGCTGAAAGGGCACCCCAGGCAGCACCTGGCACGAGCCTGGTTGATTGCAGAAACTTGCACGCCTCCAGGGACAGGGAGCTCACCACTTCACAAAGGCGCTTCCTATTAAAGAGGGACAAATTGCCAGAACAGCCTGTGCCACTCAGAACAAGGGGCCCCAGGGTTCCGTCCCTGCCTGCCCTTCCCCCACACACACCCCGCTGCTGTCCGGGCTGCCACGGGCTCTGTCCCCCCAGGGCATCCAGTATCTCACTGAACACAAGCTGCTGAAGCCCAGCGCCCAGGACATAGCCCAGTTCCTGTACAAGGGCGAGGGCCTCAACAAGACGGCCATCGGCACCTACCTGGGGGAGAGGTGAGAGCTGCTCAGGGTGGCAGGAAGTAGGGGTGTGGAGTATGGGAGAGTGACAAGGGAGTCACCACTCTAGGGCCTGGGGGTCCGCTCATGCCCTCCACTCGGGCACCCTCATCCAAGACTCGACAGATGCTGGTCCTGAAGGCTTCGCCCTAGGTCCTGGTTCCCGAGACAGCACATCCCACCTGGGGCGGGGACACGGACGCCAGCGGGTGCCGCTCATCATTACAGCCCTGGGTCCCTGATGTTCAGAGAAGGCAGGGAGGGGGTCAGAGTACCAAGGACGCTGTGTCCCCTGCTGGGAGGGGGACGGGAAGTTTCTCAGGAGGTGACAGGCAGGCAGGGTGCACACCTGGGGAAGAGTACTCCGACACTAGAACAGCCAGTTCAAAGGCCATGGGGCAGGCACAGCCTGCAGAAACAGCAGGGTGGGGAGACAGAAGAGAGTGAGGGGCACAATGGACATGGAAGGGAAGAAGTGGGGTCTGCAGAGGGGTCTGGGTGGAGCAGTGATCTGGGACCACCCTCCCACCAGTCCATGGGGGCAGACCAGAGGGCAGGGGCCAGAGCTGGGGGAAAAGGGGCTAGACGTGCACATCACACTGCGGGCGGCCTGGGAGGATGGCCCTCTCCTCCCTTGCTGCCCCTCCAGGAGGGGGTTGCCAGCAGGTTCCCAAGCGTGTCCCCCTACCCTCTCCCCAGGGATCCTCTCAACCTGCAGGTCCTCCAGGCCTTCGTGGACTGCCATGAGTTCGCCAACCTCAACCTCGTCCAGGCTCTCAGGTGAGTGGAGACAAGGACATCTGCCGAGGGTCGGAGCAGAGGCAGGAAGAGACAGGAAGCCTCCTGACTGCACCTGCCTGGGCTTCGGGTGCACGGGGTCGCAGGTGGAGGCGCCCCTCCAGGGCCTGGCCGCTAATTATGAAGGTATTGCATTTGTACAGCTACAAACCTGGATATCCAATGACTGCGCGATGCCATTCTGTTTTTTGTGGCACGGGCTGGTTTAATTTAACTACTACAGCCCAGTATGTCCTGCACTTGGTACTTTCTGGTCAGGGTACTGATGTTGCTGTTTGTATTTTCACCATTATGGGAGGCATCGGGCACAGGGTTCGGAGCATGAGCCCTGGAGCCAGACTGACCAGGTCAAGTGTGAGCTTTGCCACTCTGCCTGTGTAATAGTGGGAAAATCACCAAAAAGAAGCCTCTCTGTGCCCCAGTTTCCTCATCTGTAAAGTGGGCGTAATAACTCTACCATCTTCATAGGGTTGTGAGGTGTAAATGAGAAAACCCTTGGAACTGGCTCACAGGACGTACTCAGTGAGTCTTGCTACTGGTGGTAATGCCTGGGAAGTCAGCTTCCAAGAAGGGGCACTCCAGCTGGGCTTTGAAGGATGAGTAGGAGTTTGCCAGGAGGAAGCCAGCACCCTCCATCTCCCTGGCTCTTTAAAGGAAAAGAGTAGCTGGCTTAGGAGCTTCCAGCTAGGCGCAGGCACAGCCTGTACCCTCAGGGAACTCACCCTGTAATCTCCACTTCTGGCTCAGGAGGGAAGTGTAGGTTCCAACACAGGAAGCCCAGCCAGGGGAAGGCACTGGCCCAAGGCTGCACAGCCAGGTCCCCAAGCTCAGGGACCAGGGCAGGCTGGGCCACAGTGGCGGAGATGTCCAGAGGGGCACTGGGAGCATTTCTCGCTGCCTGTGTGCATGAGCCCCCCTCAGTCCCCGGGCTCAGCTCAGAGCGGTCCGCCCCTCTGCTGCCCACTGCCCTCTCCTCTCAGGCAGTTCTTGTGGAGCTTCCGGCTGCCCGGCGAGGCCCAGAAGATCGACCGCATGATGGAGACCTTCGCCACCCGCTACTGTCTCTGCAACCCAGGCGTCTTCCAATCCACAGGTGCGACCCCTCCACATGGCCACCTCTCTAGGGTGCCCGAGAAGCCAACTGGGGTCCCTCACCCCCTGCCAGCCCAGGACATCACAGGGGCTGAGCCCCTCGAGGGTGGCAATGCTGAGTCCTCACCGGGCCGAGCAGCCCGTGATGGAGCCGGAGCAGCTGTGGCAGCCTGGGTTCCTGGCAGATGGAGAATAGAGTGGGCGGGGGCGGGGTGTAGGAGGAGGACTGGAGCCAGTGCGAGGGGCGAAGATACAAAGAGTGGCGGGTGGGAGGGCACCCAGGGTGGGAGCAAATGTGGGGGTGGCGGAGCAGAGAGCAGCCTATGGGCAGCTGAAGTCTAGGCAGCGGGGAGACCAGCCAGAAGCGGGTAAGGCTGGGCCTCGAATGCCAAGCCGGGGTCCTCCGGGGCCCTCGGGGCCTGGAGAGGGTGGGCCGGGGAGGGGAGCATGGTGCGCCAGGCCTGAGACCTGGTCCGTCCCGCAGACACCTGCTACGTGCTGTCCTTCTCCGTCATCATGCTCAACACCAGCCTCCACAACCCCAACGTGAGAGACCGGCCGCCCTTCGAGCGCTTCGTGTCCATGAACCGGGGCATCAACTGCGGCGCGGACCTGCCCGAGGAGCAGCTGCGGGTAAGGGGGCACAGCCACCACCGCTGCCAGGCAGATGGCTCAGGCAACTGTCCTGGGATGAACTGTCACAAACGCAGCTGGCCCCCAGGCAGGCGAGGAGCAGGGCCCACGCCCCTCACATAATCCTGCTTCTCCACACCGCTGCGGGGCCTGTGCCCGGTGCCGGGACCCAGGCATGACACAGCACGGGGTCTGAGGACCTCTGTACAAATTACAACCCTGGGGCACTGTTGCAGCACAGACTCGGGGACAGCTGCTGTCATGCTCCTGGGGCAGGGGAAGGAGCACCCTGGAGACTCCCTGGAGGAGGGGAGCCCGCGAGGGTTATTACCGTCCTGGCATCGCAAAGTGGGTGTGACTTCTGGAGGGAGGCTGGAAAACAGCATTCCCGAGAGAGGACCCCACTGGAACCCCGGCTGAGATGAGGGTCCTGGTGGTCAGGGACACGGGGCCCCCACTGAATGACAGGCTCCGCGCAGCGCAGAGCCAGGAGCAGCTTGGGGAGACACGCAGAGCCTGGCCGGGCCACGTGAATGGCCAGGTCCCCTCAAGCGCTGGGGATGCCCAGGGCTCAACAGCACCTCATCCCCAGGTCAGAGTCCACGGGGACATGAACAGCCCCACCGCCAGCTCAGCATGCCCAGGATCTCCTGCTGCAGTAGTCAGGGCACAGGGCCGGGTCTGCTCTGGGCCCTTGGTCTGAGCAGGGCCTCACTCTTCGCCCAAGGCTGCCTCATTCCCAGCACGGACGTTCAGCACCACAGGGCCCCCACCATGGAGCGAGGGATGGCCGGAGCGATGCTCAGCCCCACAGCCCCCACTGCCCACAGAGTGGCCTTGGGTAGTGACTCCCTGGGGTCCAAGCCACCGTTCCCTCCAACAGAGGGTGGAGACAGCTGGCCTGTGTCACAGAGCTGCTGTGAGTCGTAATTTTACAAACGTAAAGGGCACTGCCTGTGCCGAGTAAGTAATGCAGGCTCCGCACGGCGGCTCGCGTCCCTGTGCAGAACGATTAATACTGAGACAAATGGCGCTGGTGAAATGCTGCGGCGGAAGAGGCTTGGAGAGTCGGGTCATTGCCGGTCTTTGGCCAGCACCAGGCACACCCTGACCTTGGCACTGGTGAAGGTGTGAGTTGCAGCCACCCCCAGCCCCGCCCTGCCAGGTCTCCCAGGTGCCGCATCTCTGCCGCCAGCTGCCAGCAGCCTTCTTGGCATCTCGCTCCCCCTCACTTCCACCTTGAGCCTGTGTTAATAACAGCACTCCCGCGTGCATGGAGCCGGGAACTCTCTCCTCGCAGGGCTCGGGCTATTATCTCCGTGTAGCCTCCAACTCCCCCCGGGGGGTCTGCGAAGGGTTATTATCCTCCTGGCAGCCCAGAGAGGTGCCGCAGAGCAGGGAAGGAGAGAGAGCCGAGCCCCAGCCATCAGCGCCCGGGCCGCCCCTCTCCCTGGCTGAGACTTCAGGCTCCCCGAGGCCCCCGCCCGCAGGTCAGTGTGGAAATGCCGGGCGTTCAGCAAAGTGCCTGAGTAGATGGAGAGGCCAGCGAATCTCGAGGCACTGTCAACGAGCTCACAGGACGGGGCTGCTCTACTCAGGGGCTTCGCAGTTGGCTGCGTGCACTCGGGGTCCCTCTGCCCTTCTCTCTGGACCTCATTCTCCCCGAATCGGCAAAGCAGGGGCTTGCAGCCCGTTTGTGGGTGTCCTCCATGAAGAGACACCAGTCTGGGCCTTGCTGGAAAGGACACAAAATTCTTTTCCTGCACCTCATGTACAATATTAAATGTGACCTAGACAGAGGTCACCTCAAGGGCACGCAGACCCTGAGGGTGCACAGGAAAGGCTGAGGTGTGGGAACAGAGGACTGGAGCCAGTTCTGCCCTGGCCGATTGGGTGGGAGCAGGCAGAGAGCTCAGGGGGCTCCAGGCAAAGGAGATCAGTGCCAGCTCTGCCTGGTGTGACATTGGGCACTGGCCTCAGTTTCCTCATCTGTACATTGGACTGATGACTGACTCAGCATTTTCTGAGAAGCAGGGCATGGGCACTGGGCAGGCAGGGAGGATGGCAAGGGGACCAGGCACTGTGCCCTCTGGTGGTACAGGTGGAGAAACCGAGGCCTGGGTAGGGGCTGTGTCTGTCAGCCCTGGAGCCCCGGGTACATTGCAGACCTCTCTGTCAGAGGATCCTGAGTACCAGGCACAGTTCTAGGTGCTATGTGTTCTCATTTAGCCCCTGCCCCCAGTGTACAGCTAAGACACGGGGCTCCAAGAGATGCAGCAGGTCAGAGGGTGCATGCCTGAGAAGAGCCCACACACACGCCCACACAAAGCCCTTTTCTCTGCAGAGAGAAGAAAGCAAGATTTGGGGACAGAGGGTTTGGTTCCAGCAGCCAATTACTTCCTGGTTGGGGGATCCTGAACTGTCCCTGAAAAGATGAGGGGTCAGTTGGCCTTTAGACTGTTGGTGTCAGGCTAGGCTAGATCCAGGAGCTCCTGACATCATCGCTCCCTCCCATGGCCCCATGTCTCAGTGGCCCCATCCTAGTGCCCGTCTCCTGCAAGGTAACCTTCCTCTAGGAGCCTCTCCCCAGGTGGGGCAGAGGTGGCTGCGGGATCTGGGCTTCCAGCCAGCTTGGCATCCTCCTGCTCAGCTGCTTCACCTCAAGTTCCAGAACTGAGACTCCTATTGACTTATTGCTTGGGTCACATGTGCCACCCTGAGCCAGTCACTACACCAGATGACAGGCTCAGCTCAGCCAAATGTGAGTCATTCCCTCCCTCCTGGAGCCCGGGGGTTGCTAACCCCCCTCCAAACATCCTGCCCCAGGGCACTAGAGGAGAGGTACCTCTGCAGACCTGGGGGATGGGCAGGTGCGGGCCCAGCAGAGCTCCTGGAAGGGGCCAAGCATTTCTGCATGGCTACCCAGACAAGGGGACGGTGGGGCTGGTGTTTGGGTGACAGTGGATACTGGGGTGTTTACAAGGTACAGGAAGCGTGGGTGAGCTGAGCTGTTTGTGGGGACAGAATGTGCGAGCTGATATGGTGACCACAGAGGCTGCAGGGCCTCCTGTGGCTTTGGCGGAGGCCACCTCCCACCCCTGCCCGCCTCCCTGGGCCTCCCCAGTATTTGTCCCTGACGACAGCTCTGCCAAGGAGCCTCCTCTGCCACAGGCCCTTGTTCTACCGGTCGGCGCCACCTGGCAGTTCCCAAGGGAGGCTGAGCCAGAGGTGGCAGGTCTGCCAGGAGACACGGGCCCCTGCCTTCCCCCGCCCCCATCACAGCAGCCAGGAGGGGCCAGGGCCTCAAGTCTGTGCTGGAAGATGTGCCTGACCACCTCCACAGTGCCCAGGGAACACTGCTTTCCGCCTGCACCCCACTCCGAGCCCCCAAGCTCTCAGATCAGAAAGGATATAAACAACCAGCAAGCACCGCTTTGCAAACTTGGGGAGAATGGAGCGAGACTTGTGAAATTTTCCATTGAAAATCTCAAGGAAACCATTAGCAGCCCACACAGACACAACAGGAGGAAACGGTTTCGTTATCTCAGACAGAGTCCTGTCTGATTTAACAAGCAGAGCCAAGTAGTTTATGGTGTTCCTCCAAAGCCTGGAAATCCAGGCAGAGGAGGCTCTTGGAATCTAACCAATACTTCATGGCAGGACATTCAAAGCACACTGGGGCATCCAGGGCAGCGTCTGCTCGGCCCTCAGGGAGCCCCAGCTCTGGCTTGCATACCTCCAGGGATAGAGAGCTCACTCCCTACATGGTTGCACCTGCCATATTTCAGCAGTTCCTACTGCCAGAGTCCACCACGGGGACCTGAAATCTGTTCTCAGGGACCTCGGGCCTGATCCCCACAATCAGAGCCCATGCAGCCAGGGCTCCTTGGGAAAGGGGACTTGGAGGGCATAGTCAGCACCCTACCTGGGGCCTCCCCTTCTGCCAGGCCACTCACATGGACGAGTCAATACCCTCTGCCACAGGGGTCCCTGTGTCCCCAGCCCCGCCTGAACATGAAGAGCTCAGCTGCTCCCTGAAGCAGAAGAAAGGGCTCTCCCGGGGCAGCCCTCAAGCTGCTTCTGTGTCCGGAGGGCACACAGGGAGGCAGAGCAAGGGGCTGGGTGCCACCAGGCCCAGAGCAGAAGGGGAAGAGCAGTGGGGCCCTCCAGGGGCCAGGATGAGCAACCGGAAAGGAAGGGAAAGGAGAGACTGGCCCCAGGTCCTCCCGGGCTACACGCCCTCTCCACTCTCCCTCGCAGAACCTCTTCGACAGCATCAAGAGCGAGCCCTTCTCCATCCCCGAGGACGACGGCAGCGACCTCACCAACACCTTCTTCAACCCAGACCGAGAAGGCTGGCTGCTCAAGCTGGGTGAGAGGCCCCTGCACCCAGTGCACACCCTGATGCTTCTGCACACTCACACACACACTCTGATGCACAGGCACACTCCTAGCTCATGTGCACACTCAGGCATGCGCAGGCTCTTGGCTGACACCTGCAAGCATGCTCACATGCAGCCGGGTTGCCATAGCCCCAGAGCTCATGAACCTCAGCAGGGGGGTCTGCCTGTTCCTTCCTTCCATTTCCATTCACTCATCTACCATTTCGTCTACCCATCCTTCCATCTAGCCACACATCTGTCCATCCACGCATCCATCCACCATCCATCCATCCACCCATCTGTCCATCCATCCACTCATCCTTCCATCTACCCATCTGTTCATCTGTCCACCCATCCATCTACTCATCTGTCCATCTGCCCATCCATCCATGTATTTATCTGCCTATCAGTCCATCCACCCACACATACATCCATCTACCCATCCTTCCATCCACCCACCCATCCATACAGCCATCTGATCATCTATCCACACATCTGTTCATCCATCCCTCATCCATCCACCCATCTATCCATCCACCCATCCATCCATCCATCCCTCCATCCATCTGCCCATCCATCCATCCATCTACCCATCCATCCATCCATCCACCCATCCATCCATCCATCTACCCATCCATCCATCCATCTACCTATCCATCCATCCATCTACCCATCCATCCATCCATCCATCCATCCATCCATCCATCCATCCCTCTACTCGTTGGTCCCAGGCAGTGATGGCGAACATTTTAGAGTTTTTAATGATAAGTAAATGCCCACTGCAGCACCTGTGCTGTAGGTTCATGACCCCTGGCCCAGGAGTGAAGCAGTTTGGGAAGGCTGAGCTGTAAGGGCAGGAGGCAGAGGGGCCTACACACAGCTCTGACGGTGAGGGAGAGGGCTCTCAGTCGGAGGCACCAGTTGGTCAGGACCTACTAAACAAGGCCAAGGTGCTGGCTCCTATACAGCCAAGCTTTTGGGTGGCCTTCTGCGGAAGCCAAAGCTCAGTGACGGTGGGGCACCTGCCCAAGGCCACAGAGCCAGCAAGTGGCAGACCCGGGGGTCCAGTGGGTGGGGAGTCCCAGGAGGGGGCGGGAGTGTGACAGGATGTGGCTCCAGGGGTGCTGTGGTGGTGTGAGGTGACAGCGGTAGTGGGTGTGGTGATGGCAGCAGCTGCGGGGTGTAGCCAGGGAACACGGGGGCAGGCCAGCGCCCGTGCCTCCTGAGGCACACTCCCAGAGCCCCAGCAGGACTGGAAGCCAGCGACTCAGGCAGCAGAGTGGCCCCCGGTATTGGAGCAGGAGTCTCTGTCAGGCACCTCCAGCCACACCCAGTCGGTCCCTGGTCCTGCCAGCCCTAGGGAAGCAATACGTCACCAGTCCTGACCCTCAGAGTCTCCCAGCTGGGCTCACCCTCGGAGTCCTTCACTGTGTACGGACAGCCAGGGTCCCTGGCCCAAGTTTCTGCACGTGGAAAACAGGGACAAAGACCCCAGACCTTGGCGTGCAGCAAAACCACCAGGTGCTCAGGCTCTGGAGTCAGGGCATGGAGTCTGAGCCTCGCTCTGGCGCGGCGCACAGGGCGGAGTCTGAGCCTCTCTCCGCCTCAGCGTTCTCATCTGTAAAATAGAGTTAACCACGGCCCCTTCCCGGGGGTCATGGGACTGAGGTTTATATATATATATATATATATATATTATGGTTTTTTTCCGGTACCGGGAATCGAACTCACGCCCTTGCCCTTGCCAGGCAGGCGCTGTGCCGCTGAGCTAAATCCCCAGCCCCAAGGTTTATATTTTTAAAGTCCTCTAGAACCTCGCCTGGCAAAGGAAAGACACCCCACCCAGCACAGGGCCCGGGAAAAGTAGGGAGGCAGCCACTGCCCCAAGGCCAGTCCCGGGGCAGCCCTGCGTGCAGCTCAGGGTGGACCTGATTTACGGAGCCACTGAGGCTTCGGGGTGCAGAAGAGTGGTGTGGGAAGGGCCACTGGGCCCAGGAGGAGGAACGCTGACCCACTGTGCTGTCTGCCTCCCACAGGGGGCCGGGTGAAGACCTGGAAGCGACGCTGGTTCATCCTCACAGACAACTGCCTCTACTACTTCGAGTTCACCACTGTGAGCCATCCCTGCCCTCCCACCCTCTCCTGACCCTCATCAGCCAGTTGGCTGACAGAGCATGGAACCCTCTGAGATTGGTCAGAGCACCTCAGTGCCCATTTTACAGAGGAGGAAAACTGAGGCCACAGAGCAGGCAGGGCCTGGCCAAGGGCTGGGTCTCCTCACTGCTCCCCTCCACGGCTGGGCAGAGTCAAGGAAGATGGGCCCCTCCTGTTTGGGTCTGGGCAGCCTCAAGTTTCCATTGACTGACCCTACATTCTTTCTCCCCTCAGGACAAAGAGCCACGGGGAATCATCCCCCTGGAGAACCTCTCCGTGCAGAAGGTGGACGACCCCAAGAAACCAGTACGTGTCATGCTGGGTGCCCCCATCAGAGCGGCTGGGCAGCATCCCAGCTGGGAGAGGAGGGCCGGGGGACGGGGTTTCCTGGAGACAGGGCTTCTGTGTGCTCCTTCCTGGGGCCGTGGACCTGGGGCCTGCTTGGTCCCAGTTGTTTCACAGAGCCTGACTCTGACACTGGCCAGGTGACCTCCTGAAGGTCACTGCTGTCTCCTGAGCCTGTGTCCCCACCTTTCATAGGGGGACTTTAGGGGGAGCAGTGATGTAAGTAGAGATGCAGCCCCTGCCCCAGCCCCTGTCAGGGGGTCACTAGAGCGCCTGCCTGGCCCAAGCATCAGGCCCCTCAGAGCCACCCAGAGAGCAGGGCGGCTGGCTGCCCACCGCCCACCCTCACCGGCCCCTCCCACAGTTCTGCCTGGAGCTCTACAACCCCAGCTGCCGAGGCCAGAGAATCAAGGCCTGCAAGACGGACGGTGACGGCAGGGTGGTGGAGGGCAAGCACGAGTCCTACAGGATCTCGGCCGCCAGCGCCGAGGAGCGGGACCAGTGGATCCAGGCCATCCGGTAAGGGTGGTGGCACAGGGGCGGCTCCCTGTCACCTCCTGGGAGCCTCTGTTTCTCTGGGGCCTCAGCTTCTAGCATGGCAGTCCCTTCCACGAGGACCCCATCGTCACATCCTGAGAGCCGGGCACCAAGCCAGGCCCAGCGCACGGGCGGGAGGGATGGACTTTAGGGATTGGGGGCTGCTAGACAGCTCCTGCCCATCCCCTGGGTCTCACTAGTGCCCCCTGCTCCAGGCAGGGCAGAGAAGGGCTCTCCAGGTGAAGGGGCTTGTGAGCAGAGGCAAGAGGGCCAGTCCATGGAGGGGACCCCTGGACAGCACCCCAGGAGCCACATGAGGCGGGGCTGTGTAGGGGCCGAACAGCCGGAGATGACACCACGGAGAGTGGGGCCACAGTCACTTTGGCGATGCACTTCGATGTCTCCTGGGGGCACCGGGGAGCCCCAGACTGGTGAACAGGGAGGGGCACATCCAGGTGGGAAAAGCCACAGTGTGGGGGCCAGCTCTGAAACAGAGGGTCAGATCTGTCACCGCAGGCCAGGAGAGGGAGGCGCACGTGGCTGCAGGCTGGGAGAAAGGCAGAGGAGAGGAGCTGGCAGGGACGAGACAAAAACCAGGCGCTGGGCCTGCCCTCGGCACAGGTGAGACCTGTGACCTGGAGGCAGTCACAGCGCAGGGGACCTGCAGAGTCTTTGAGCCAGGCCTTGAAGCAGCCTGTGAGCCCACCTGCCTCTAACCCTTCTCATCTCCATTTTGCAGATGGGAAAACTGAGGCCTAGAAAGGATAGAAACTTGTCCAGGGTCACACAGCCAGTGAGGGGCACAGCTGGGCTCCTAAGCAGGTCTCTGGCACTAACCAGGTCACCTTTCTCCTCCCTACGAGCCTCCCGGGGGCCTAGAAGGGGCTCAGGGGCACTTTGGGGTGGCTTCCTGACTCTCAGCCCCTGCTTATGGGATGCTGGGCATGGCCCTTGCTGGGGTCACCACCCTGGGGGCCCCACATCCCCAGTCACAAGCCCCAGGAGCTCCAACTCTTCGGTCACCGCTCAGCCCCGATTCTCATGTGTCCTGCTGTCCCTGCAGGGCCAGCATCACCCGCGTCCCCTTCTACGACCTGGTCTCTGCCCGGAAGCAGAAGATCGCCAGCAAGCAGTGAGCCGCCAGGGAGGTGGCGCAGGGAGACCCCTCCTGCCTTTCCTTGCCTCAGACTCGCCCCATGACCTCGAGCTAACTGTGACAGGAGACAGAGCTCCGAGGCCGGGTGGGGACCCCAGAGGGCACACAGCCCACCTAGAGGTCCTGGCGCCCAGCAGCCCTGCCTCCAGGTCCACGACGGTAGAGATGAGAGAGGAGCCGAGGAGAACAAGAACTGCATCTCCTCTCAGGGCCCTTCGCCCTCAGAGGGGCCGTCAGCCCTCAAAGCGGGAGGCCCTGAGGTCCCTTGGGGCCACCTGCCCTCAGCCAGGCATCCCCACCATCCTCGGAGTGTCTCTGCGAGCCCCCCATCCTCAGTTTGGGGTTGGCCCTCCTTGCTGGAGCAGAGCTCAGCACACACATGGCCCAGACCCAGGGCCAGGACACAGGGGACAGCAGGAGCCCCCTACCCCACCCTCAGCCTCTGTGGGAGGCAGCACCAGGCTCAGGCCTGGTGGGAGAGCCTTGCCTAGGGCTTCCCTGCTGTACCGAAGCCAGTGGCTCTAGGATGGTGAGGGCAGCAGGGCGAGTCGCAGCACCCCGGCCTTCTGCAGCCGAATCTCAGAGGTGCTGCGTCCCAGTACCACAGGCAGCCCTGGCTCCAGGAGGCCCCACCTCTCAGAGAACCACCGCACACCCTCACCTGGGCCCAGGGAGCCGCCAGAGGGAGATTCCTTGGCTGGACAACAGGAAAGGCCTCTGCCCCACTGCTGGCTGAGTGGGCGAGTGTAGCAGGCAGATTCCCCTGGGGAAAACTGCAGGTCGCCAGGCAACGGCCCTTCTTCCCGCCCCCACACACAAGCACACTTCCCAGGGTCAGGATGGAGATGCCGCCGGTGAGGGGGTGAGACCCCCCGTCTCCAGGGTGTGCAAGAATCTGGCAGCCATGTTGCTCCAGGTGAGGCCTCGGTTGGGCCTCTGCGGGAGGAGGCCTACGTGAACTTTTGGGGATGTGAGCTGCGACTGCCCCATTAGGCCCATCAGTGGGCACAGGAGGTGGCGGAAGGAGCACTAGGCTGGAGACTGGGCCCTCTGAGGTCCTCTCTTTGTCCTTGGTCCACTGCCTCCTGCCTCCCTCTGGGCCTCAGCTTCCTTCCCATCCTTGAGGGCTTGGGACAAACATGAGCAGCTGCTCTGTGGATCACTCAGAAGACAGAATAAAGCATACGGTGCAACTCCTGAGCAAGGCTCCTTCCCCCGCCCTGGCCTTTCCCCTTAATCCCTTCCCTAGACAGGGAAGGCTGCCCCCTGGAGCACTGGAACCTCATCCTCAGGACACTGAGGCTGCTGCACTGGACAGAAGTCCCCGGGGGCTGGACTTCAGGCAGCGCTCCCTCGGGGCAGGGGCAGGGAGAGGGTTGAGCTGATTCTGCCCACGCTCAGGGAAAGGGAGAAGAACTTTCCAGCAGGCAGTGATGTCTACAGGCAAAAAAGGTCACCACTGCAAGAGCCAGGTGATGATCTGCGCATCTCTGGCGGGATGCAAGCACAGGCCGTCACTTGAGGGACTTGATTCTGTGGGCTTCACTTAGGTGTGTTCCCACAAACACCTATGAACACCAGTAGGTGCTAGAGATGCAGTTCTTGTTCTCCTCAGCTCCTCTCCTCATCTCTACCGTCATGGACCTGGAGCCAATAGGAGCCCCAATAGGTCCTAGAAGAGTGCTACGCGGGGCAGTCTTCTAGGCCTGGTAGAACAGGACAGAGTTGCTGGTGCCTGGGCTCACATTCTAATATCCTAGTGCACCTGAATCCTAGGTGCTAGGCAGCCCCTTTAGGGTGTTAAGGACACCCCCATATCCTACCCAGCCCCCTGCCTGATGCCCCATTGCTCCTTGAAGATCCTAAGATGCTGAACTAGCCCACTCTCCTACATGGTCCTGCCTCCAGCCCATGTTTACTGAGCACCTGCTGCCTACCAGGCTCCCTGCAGAGCCAGAGGCCCAGAGATGATCAGAACACGGCTCCCGCCATCAGAAGGAGCTTGTGTCCAGTGGGGGACACAGGTGTAGACGACCAGCTCTAGCCAGCCTGACATGTGCTGTTGTAGAGGGGCAGAGCAGGGCTAAGCTGGCAGAAGGGCACCCCGTAGGCTCCCTGGAGGAGGAGGCCAGCTGAGAAAGGACACACACGCTGCACTGTGCTGAGCCCGCCTCACGTCTGCCTCTGACTGCAAGCTCTTTGAGGGTCTCAGTGCTCCTCCTCTGTGCCTAGCGTTCAGTAGGTGCAGTAGCTGTTGGTTTGACTGATGTTAGCTGATCAAGGCGCTCAGAGCCACAGCATCAGCAGGTGCCAGGGTCTGCAGGCCCCCGGGGATTGTAGGAATGCTGCTGTTGCTGCTGTTGCTTCTCCTGCCGCTGCTGCTGCTGTTCTGCCGCCACTGTTGTCAGGAGCTAGGGACAGAGCTAGGGAGGCCAGCAGGATCATACCACTCGCCAGAACTGGGAGGGTCTCACTCTGACCCATTGGCCCAGGCCTCAGGTCTCTACCCCTCCCAAGGCAGCCTGTGCCCCCTTATACCATCCTGCCACTCCTCTCTCTGGGCAGTAGAGGGCGCCCACCACACGCAGATGAGAGCTACTCTCCCCCAATCCCCGCAGAGACTGGGCCTGTGTTGGGGGAGTCCCAGCCAGGGCATCTTAGGTAGGAGGCACTTGGCCAGCTAGGGCCTGTGAGCTTGGCAGAACCCACAGACCACACTAGCAGGGGCCTGCTCCTCACCCCCTGCCTGGTCTGGCACAGGAAGACAGGCTTGCCCGCTCTCTGCTGCGTGCCCTCTCTCCGTGATTTTTTTCTTTGGGGCCTGAGCCAGCTAAGTTCCGCCAGTGCAAACCTTTGACGGAGACTTCCTGGTGCACGGGGTCTGGGGCACCAGAACACAGCAGCTCCTCGCCTGGGAGAATGAGTGGAGACAGAAATGCCACTGACTGTGAGAGGCCACAGGGGGCAGCAGTGAGTGTCACCAGAGGCCCTGGGTTCAAGGCTCAGTCTACTCTGAGCCTTAAGCAAGGTTGTGGGACACTCTGGGCCTTGACTTCCCGTCTGTAACATGGGGATCACTGAATAGATGTGTAATTCCCAGGACAGCGTTGAGCAGCCACTGCGGGTTTATTATTATCATCGCAGTGTGCACTGTCACCAGAGACGAAGCAGATGGAGCCATTGGAAGAGGGAGAAACCTGAGTGGGGAGGAGGACATCCTTGAGGGCTTCCTGGAAGCAGTGCCCTATGGCGAGCCCAGCCGAGGCCCAGGACTTCCGGCCAGTGGGGCCTATAAGAGGCAGGTTGAGCATGCAGGACAAGGCTGGGGGTTTCCGGGCCCACACACCAGCACAGGGGGCCATGAGGATGTGAGGTCAAGGGGCGCTGGTCTCTGGCAGGGGTGGCCTGTGAGCATAGTAATGAGAGCTCTGAGTCCCTGAGCCCTGGCTCTACCACAGGAAGCTGTGGGGGCCCGGCAGCAGACGCTGAGTAGAAGCCAGTGCAGCCCTGGGTCCCTGCCAGCACAGGGGGCCAAGAGGAGTGGATGGGGCAGGGGCCCAAGTGCCAGGGCACAGGAGATGGGGGCAGGCAGTCCCGAGTCGGAGGCAGGTGTGAGAGACCCGGAGAAACTGATTTATTAGGGATCATGAAAGGAGCTAAATATGTTTGCCGGCTAGCGATGACTCAGTCATCCCCCAGGGGTTCGCAAGTATGAACATCAAAGAATGGAAGGCAGGCCACCTCCCCGGGTACCGCCAGCCTCGCCCCTGCTTCCTGTGACGGGAGGACTCGCCTCTCCGACCTACACAGCCCCAGTGCCCACCCCCAGAGCTCGCAGGGGGGCGGGGTGAAGAATGAAACCTCGGGTTAGACACAAGTGGGTTGCACTCTTGGCCCAACACAATTGCTGTGTGATCTTGGACACGTGGCTGACGCTCTCTGGACTCACTCACCAGGCAGGCCCCAGCCCGCCAAACCTAGCCTCGCTCCCCCTCTGTCTGGTGTGATTTTTCCTATCGCATTGGGCTCCTTCCAGAAGCCAAGGGCCCCTCTGCCTGGGGCTGCCAACTGGCCTCCAGGAGAAGAGCCAGACCCACAGGGCCTCTCCAGCACGCAGAGGATGCACTCTGCCAGGGCCGACTTCCGGCCAGCTCTGTGCTCCAGAGTGCAGGGATGAATCAGAGTGTGCAGGCCAGAGGCTGAGGGACAGAGGAGGGTGAGAGGACTGCTCCTGGTGGGGCAGGCTGTAGGGAGGGCAGCCCAGCTCCTGGAGCGGGGTGAGTGAGGAGCTGATGGGTGCGCCTGGGGCGGGGCTGTCCTGGAACAGCAGGACAGGAGGCAGATAGGGAGAGGGATGGAGCCTGGAGCTGGGAGGGCACCAGGCAGGAGAGACACTCGGGGCCACTCGGGGTGCTCCCCAGGCCATTGTGGGGTTGGATCAAGGACACCCACTGGGTGGGGGCCACAGGATGCCAGAGGGGGCTGGTCGGGTGCAACAGGAGCAACCTGAGAATGAGCCAGAGGAGAGGCGGGGGGACCTCCAGTCTCCCCAGCAGGTGGGAGTAAAGGTTTAGGGGGCAGCAGAACTGTTCGCCCTGGGCCAGAGGGACAGCAAGACCCCCAGGTGGAGAGCCTCAGGGAAGCCTCCCCTCTCCCTTCTGCACCCCTCAGCTCCTCCCTGCTCCCTCCCTTCTTTCCCACTTGCCCCCCCTCTCCTGCACTCTCCCCAACCCCTCTTGGCCATCCTGGCGTAAGGCCGTATCCACAGGTCCCTGGGATTCGAACTCCGCTTGCCCATCTCGGGCTGTGTGGTGGGGGCCTGTGCTCTGCTCTCCCTGGGTCTCCTTTCTCCTACTCAAGGCCCCAGGTGGTGACTCCCCACCTGCAATCCTCATGCTGAGTCTTCTGATGACCCAGTGGTGCAGGCTGAGAGAAGGGGAGGTCTGGGGCCTGCCCTGGGGATATAGAAGTCCCTGTCCCCTCCCAAGACAACACTGCTTTTCCTAACTGCAGGCTAGGGGCTGTGTGGGCGTGGTCATGAGGCCCCTGCCGCTTTTGTCCCCATTAGAGATCTTAATCTTGGGGGTCTCCCTGCACCCTGTCCTCCATCTATATGTCACATGGCATACTCACTTAGGCCAGCCTCTGCCAATACCAGCCACCTCCAGCCTCCCAGCACACTTAGGGCCAATCAGTTACCCCACCCTCGGGAAAGGACCCACTCTCACTGGGACCCAACAGAAGGCCAGGGCCTGCACCTGTGCAGGAACAACCCTAGCTGATTTGGAGCATAGGTAGGCACATGGGCCACAAGGTGATCACCCATGGTGGGACCCTTCTGACAGTGCCATGATGCTGGATTAGAGGGGTTCCAGGAGAACCAGAGCAAACCAAGACTGCCTGGTACCTCAAGACGTGAGCATCCTAGACACCAGCCACATTCACAAGACTCCAGCAAGAAAGTGGGGACATTGCCCCACAGGGCTGCGTGTACAGCTGAGGATCCTGGTGGGCCTCCCTGGCTACCCCACCCCTCAGGGCTTCCAAAAGGTTTCAGAAAAGCAGGTGTGCTGGCCCTGCATCCTTCAAAGGAGACTCCAAGCCCACCGTCTCTCCTTGCCTGCCTCTTTGTTTCCGGATTTGGCCGTCCAGCCCCACTGTTAGGGTTTAGATCTAAAGTGTCTCATGTGTTCAGGGGTGGCGCTTTCAGAAGATGGTTGGGTCATGGTGTGCTGTACTCATCAGCTCTATTGATGAGCTCGTAGCCGAGTGTGCTGTTAGGAGGTAGGGCCTGGTTGAAGGAGGTGGGTCACTGGAAGGATGTATTCCTGTTTCCAGTCTCGCCCCTCCCACTCCGCTTCCTGGTTGCCATGGGTTGAGCGCCATTGTTCCCCCACACCCTGCTGCCATGATGTTGCTGCCTTTAAGCCAGCTGACCATGGACTGAACTGTCTGAATCCGTAAGCCAAATTAAACCTCTCCTCCTTTAAGCTGTGGGTGTCAGGTATTTTGTCAAGCAGTGGTGCAAAAGCTGACTAATACACCAATGTAGGGATTCCTGGCCTGTATCACATCCTTCCCCTCCTTGAAGAGGAAACTGTGCCTCATGGGAGTTAGGAGACCTGCCCAGGCTTCACAAGGAAGACAGAACAGAATATACTGCATCATATCTGACCCTCCCAGCAACCCACAGGTAGACAGCTTTATTCCATTCAACAAATGAGGGGGTGCAGGCTCAGGAAGTTTGTGACTTGCCCAGAGCAGATCAGCTGGTGGCATCTGATCACCATGGGACCCAGTAACTGGCAGGAGCTCAGTAGATGCTAAGAATCAGCTTTGTGACCTTTCTGGCTCCTTTCATCCCCCCAGGCTAATCCTTTAACTCTCTTCCTCCCTGCCCCAAAGGATTTTCACTGAATAAAAAAGAGCCCAGAGCCTTTACTCCAAAGAAATTATTTTTTAATAAAATGTCTCCCATTCAAAAAGTCATAAGACATGTGCATTGCGGGAGATTAAACTATACAACCAAGGGGAAGAAAACCCAAAAATCCCTCGCCAAGCATGTTCAAGTTACTTCTCTGCAAGGGTACAGCAAAAGCAACTTTGTAACCTGTGTGTCCTGTAAATACCAAGGAACTCCAGTGTCCCCATGTGGGCCAGTCAGGGCAGGTGAGGTATGCTACAGTAACAAATGACCCCCAAATCCCAGTGGCTTCTCATACAACAACTGGTTCTGTCTTGCTCACACGGCATGCCTGGGCCAGGGTTGAAGGGGATCTCTGCTCCTCACAAGCACTCAGGGACCCAGGCTGAGCTGGTGCCACACTGGCAGGGGCCACCAGGAGCACTGTCTATTTTATTTTTTATTTTTTATTTTTTTGGTTTTTCTCCGGTACCGGGAACCGAACTCACGACCTTGCGCTTGCCAGGCAGGCGCTTTTGCCGCTGAGCTAAATCCCCAGCCCCAGGAGCACTGTCTAGATGTGAGTTGCTTCCGCTCACATTTCACTGGACAAAACAAGTCACGTGGTCCCCAAACCTCAAGGAAAGCGGAAGTACAGAGTTGCCACAGCACCATGAGCCACCTGCCCAGCAGGAAGGAAGAACAGAAATACTCACTGTGCAACACTAATGCTGATTATAGCTAGGCGAACCAAGAATCCGCCTCTGCTCAGACCAAGGAGCTGCCTGGAATCAGAACTTCTAGCGCTATCGCTGGGAAAGTCCCAGGCCAACCAGTCGTCACATTCATCCTACCATGTTACAGGTGCTTCACAGACTTGCTTTTCAAAGCCAGCACCAGTTTATAGATAAATTATCGGTTTTTCCCCCACCCCCCATTGCTGGAGGTTCAGACAGCTTCCTGTTTTAGGTGTTTATAAATCCCAGCCTTAAATATCTCCATGAAGGAACCCTTGCCCTTTGGGTTTCTGAGGTGCATCTTCTGGCCTTCTTGCAGGCTCAGAATGGTGGTCCCTATGTGACTCCACACGGTTGGATCGGCAGAGCTTGCCTATAGGCAGGTGCACGCTGCCTGTCACTCACCTGCCGCCCAGAGCAGCTGTTTCCATCCTGCAGCCTAAGAAGCACCCGAACAGATGGCTGAGCCCTATCCCAGCTTCCGGGTTCACTACTGGGGTGGTGTCTGACTGCAGGCATTTCTAGCAGGGTCCCGGGTCCAAGGCCACACTCTGAGGACTATCGCCTTGGCAGTTACATAAACCCCGCTTGTAACCTGGCAGATGACTCTGCTCAGCCGTGCACCAGCTGTGTGACTTGGAGCACACGGTGTGAGGACCCTCTCAGCCTCAGTTTCCCCATCTCTGCACTGGCCCCTCTGTGGAGATTGTCACGGCGAACACCGTAGAACCTTGAGAGGACTGCCAGGCATGTCGTCTGTGATGAGTTCAGTTAAAGATAGTGATCGTTATTCAGTGGTAGATTAAATAACTTCATGTTTTAAAATATTTGTTCATTTGAATGGAATTGCATTTATTAAAATTTCCGTTCCTTTTAGATCTGAGTAGGAATGAATTATTTCCATGCGCTGGCTAAGCATTCGTGTTTCCTTTTCAGCGTGAATCATCGGCTGCTGCCCTTTGCCCGGTTTACCTGCAGGTTCTCCGCCTTCCCTCACCTGCTCGTTACAGAGCAGAGATAACAAACCCCACCGCCTTTCTTGCTCACTGCAAAGATTTTGCTCAGGTTGCTGCCCGCCATTCTACTGGGGCCATTTGTCTGGCTTCCAGAGTAGCCGAATCCATCTGCCTTTCCCATTTTTATTTCCTCTATCGCTGTTAAGCTGAGATTGCTGCCCTTCCCCAGAATGTGACAAATCAAAAGGAATTGGGCTTTGAATGACGGCATTTCCTGGCCCCTGATGGCTGTAAGGGGAAGGGGGTGCCCTGCTGGCTCACCCCCAAACCAGTATAGTCATGATATAAGGCCGAGCCAGGAGCTGGGGGCCTCTAGAACTCCCAACAAGCACCCCCAGCCCTGCCTCCTGAGCAGCCATCTGCAGCCCCCACCCCCAGAGGCACAGGGCAGTGCGGAGCTGGATGGGAGGGAAGGTAGGGTGACCACAGGTATAGAACTGGGCGCCAGCCTCGGACCCATCCCTCGGGCCTCTCCCCCACTGCTTCGGCCCTGCTTGCTTTGTTTCTTTGGGCCTCTGTTCTCTGATGTACGAAATGGGCAAAGATCTGCCCAAGTCAAGGGCAGGATTTAAATAGATCAACAGCCACCGCACCAAGGACGCGCTCAATGAGCAGGGCCTTTTGTCAGGGCCAATTCTGTTCCTGGGCAGTAGCAGGACCCCCACAGCCTGTTCCTCTCTTTGGGCTGAAAATACTCAGCGTCTTGGGCCCCGTGACCCAAGGGCTCCTCGGAAAATAAGGGGCCAGGGGTGGGGCTGCAGAGGGCAACTCTGGGGCCTCCAGCTGCTGGCTTGCACGCCAGCCCTGCTCTCAGGAAAGGGCCACGCCGGTCCAGGGAGCACGGGGGCTGAGACACCCCCTTCATGCCCCCCACCCTCCCCACCTCCTGGCGGGTAGAGCAGGTCCGGTGTCCGCTCCTCCAGGCAAGCGGAACCAGGCACCCTCCGGCGCCCGCACCTCCCCTCCGGAGCCTCTGGGCCTGATTTCCATAATAATCAGCCACAGATCTCCTGCAAGGGCCGGGAGCAGCCGGGAGCAGCCGCCGCAGCCCACCAGGGAAGCTCCTGCGGGCAGGCGCCCCTCCCCACCTCCCCCGCTGCCCCAGAGGGAGCCTCATTTTTAAAAGCTTTCGGAAACGAACGGCAGTGCAGGAGGCAGCTGGGAGACACCCAGGACTTCGTTCTGGCATTAAGAAGGCAAAGGTGGGGGTGGTAGGCGGGGACCAGGCTCGGAGACAGTGCTGGGGGGAAACTAAGGCAGCCGGGGACAGGGGCATGCTCCCAGACACGTGCTCACTGTGGCTTCACAAACACCCACAGGTGGGGTTTCTGCTGTGTCCCACTTTACAAATGGGGAAACTGAGGCCCTGGAAGATTTCAGGGTTTCTCAGCTAGTGACTGGCGGGGGGGCACCCCTTTCCAGGTTGAAGGATTCAGAGCCAGTGAATCCACGAAGGAAGGAACTACATTAATGCAGGGGACCTTCTCCTTCCCTGGCTCCCCAGCCCATCTGTAAAGGGCAGTGCCCAGCTCCCTTCAAGGCCTCCAGGAGGTGGCACTGGGCACTTCCCAGACCTGGCTAGAACCACATCCCCAGGCCTGAACTCCCCAAACAGCCCTGCCCCTCAAGCACCTGCGCCTGTCTTTCCCCCTCCCTGTCTGCCCTCCTCGGTCGTCCCACGTATGCCTGGGGGAGGCCTGGACATCCTTGGGGACCCAGGGGCACCAGAAGCAGTGGCTAGCTACTCCCAGGTTCCCCAAACCCCACTGCAAAAGGCAGAGGGACCCAGATCGGTCCCTCCTGACTGTGTGCTGTGGAGACAGCTGTGGCTCACGTCACCCCTGGAGTAAGTGCAGGGCAGGCCCGGGGGCAGCGCTGGGGAGTCAGAGACGCTCTAGGCTAAGGCTTCTGGCCTCCACAGGTGCCTAGTATGGGGGGCTCTTTCCAGCCTGGCCAGGGCCCTCCTGCAGATGGGGCTCAGGGAGCAGTCCTGGACACCCCCACCCGCAGCTCCATCGGCTGTGTCTCTTTCTCCTCTACTCCCACAGCGTCTGCAGCCAGTGGAGAGGCTGCCAGGCTGCCGTGGACAGAATGACAATGAGGCCAGGACCCAGGGAGCTGGGAAGAGGCTCTGAGTGAGGGGAGCAGGCAGGGGTGGGGTAGGAATTGCGGGTGAAGAGGGGGAGAGGCCGGGGCAGGGCTGGGGCCCGGAGAGCCACGCTGGGTGGGGGCAAGGCTGGGGCCAGCCTGATTCAGGCCCCAGTGGAGATGAGCCTGGGGCAGGATCCAGACAGCCACCTCAGGGCCAGGAAAAGAGACCAAGGGAGTCAGGGTAACTGTAGCCCAGAGGAGAGGAGAAGGAGGCTTGAGGAGAAATGAGGAATCCAAGAGGCAAGAGTGATCAGGGAGAAGAGGAGAGAAGCCACTCAGGGTGCCCCAGGCCTGGGACAGCACCCACCCTCCAAGGCCCAGGCAGAGTCAGCCCTGGGAGCCCCTGCCCAGAGCCAGGCAGGCAGAGGCAGCAGGAGCACAGGACAGCAAGACACATGGGGCCCCGGGGCCTGTGGGGCTGACAGACCAACCAGAGCCCCCCGCCTGCTCCCTGTGGGGACCACAGCACAGAACAAGGGCTGAGTGCCCCACGCGCCCTGCCCGTCCCACCGCCCTGCCTTTGCCCCCACCTGAGGCCTACTTACCTCCCTCCCTGCACCCCCAAACACCCCATCATCCCAGGCCCCCACCTCCATAGACAGTGGGTAACTCCCTGGACCCTCGCACTCCACCCTATGGGGCTGCATTCTGCAGGTTCAGATGCACACACGGGGCCCCGATAA